TATAAATGACTTAGCTAGAGTAATAAAGACTATAATACTATATAGTTAATAATAAATAAATAAATATGTTGGGACATTAACACACCGCAACATCTAGTTCCATGGTAAGCTACGAGGCGTGTGTTATGGATACCAGATAGTTGATACACTACACACATATAACTTTAAATACATACATATTATAAATATAAACACCCATGACTGGAGTACAAACATTCGTGCTCATCACACAAATGAATGCCCCCAACGGGACTCGAACCCGCGACCGCTGGCACAGCAAGCAGGGTCACTACAAACTGAGCCAAACGTGTCGTCAATAATGATTGCAATAATAAGATAGGACGGTATTTAGACGCAGTGTTGATATCGTTCTTTTACGAACTGTGTTGTCTGTCCTCCATAAAGAATTTCATTATAGACATTAACTTATGGCGCCATTGTTATGTACAATAAAAGTTTAGTATAAGATATGTAATTAAATATTTCAATCAACTAACAACGACAAATGAACTCTTAGATATTCTTTTTATGTTGAAGTCTACTTTAAATTTATTATCTTTAAAATTACACTTCATTAATTCATTATATAAAAACATTGAATTATTATTGTGAATACATTTTTATTATATATTATATATGTATCTTTTTTAAATTCAATTCATTAAATTTTTAGTTTTTAGTTTTCTTTTTAAATTTAGAAATAAGTATTGTCTTTTAAATTTTTTAGGGTAGGTTAGCACTGGGTAAAAAATTCAAGGCCAATCAATTTTATATATTTTTTTTATAAAGAGTTGCTAAAATTGAATTTTAGTTACAGTTGCTGCTTTATTTTTGTGAGTGCTTTTGAAAGAGCACTTTTGCATAATAACTTAAACTCTACACGTACACGCACACAACATAATTTATTGCGCATTGGTTCGTTTTATTCGTATATTCTAAAAGTGGTCGAGCATTAAAACAAGGACAAAGAGTTGTCCCCGTCAATTTTTACGAGCGTCGACACAGTTTTCTAACAAAATTATTCTTCGAAGTCCGAGGGGACCCGCCTCATGGTTTGTCAAAAAGTCGTCGTTTGCAACGTTTAGCCGCTTTCCATTGCTGATTAGTTTTTATTTGCGCATAATTCAAGCGTCTAATTTGACCTCTAATCTCCAACTCTAACGAGATAAATAAAGTTTTATTTCGCTATACATAAATATTTAGTATGTTTTTACATGGACTAATAATATAGTTACGATATAAAAATTGTGCATTAATATTATGTCAAATGCGCCATCGAACGATCAAAGTTCTTTTTTTTTATGAAATGTTGCATATGTGGCACACCTGCACAATATTCATAAATCTTTAGGGCTTAGGTCAACAGTCGGCAGACGCATACTTGGTTTATATCTTTCCCATGTGGTTCACAGAACGGTAACAAGACTCAAAGTAACTATACGTCTGCTAATAAAGCCACCCGACATTTCGACAAACGGTCCTAATTTATCTTTGTTCAAGCAGACCTCAAACGAAAGCAATTTCCCTTTAGGTTTCTTTACCAAACATTTGTGTCGCACAGATTAAGAACCGTTTCAGATATTTAGTAGTTTTAGCAAAATATTGGCTACAAACGTAAATTGTTTATATTTTTCACCATTTTCTTTCTCTTAAACTAAATTCATGTCATTCCTCTGTTAATGCAAATTATTATTTATTTAGTTCGAAATGTGTGGTAAACAATTCTCTAGTGGATACAAAATCAATAGTATTTTAAGCATGTACGGAGTACTAAAAATGTTATTTTAACCCAGAACGCATCGTTTGAAATGCGGCAAAGTGTAGAGGAAGGTTTTATTGTTAAAAAACAATGTTTACTATAATTTATATTTGTTTTGATAAAGTTCAATTTATAGAACTATAAAATTATTGTATATTGGACATTAGTATAAAGAATATGATTGTCATACACATATTACATTGAGACTATTATTGTAAATATTTCAAGCAGTTAAAATAGTAATAACGAAGTCTGTTCATGTTGCAATGTATGTATGTATTTGTTCTATGAATATTTACATGGATATAGAGAAGATTATTTTATGATGGATATGAAGAAGATTTACATTAAAAATCTATGGCTGAGTAGATCTAGAAAAGTACGACGCTAAACACAATTAACTTTCTTAGCACAGCAATGTAAGTCAAATATAAGAGTCCTTGTAAATAATATGTTGGGACATCAACACACAGCACCATCTAGTTTCATAGTAAGCTACGAGGATAAGCTACGCTATGTTATGGATACCAGATAGTTGATACACTACACAATAATGTAACTTTAAATACATACAAACTATAATCGTGCTCGTCACACATATGAATGCCCCCAGTGGGACTCAAATCCACGACTGGTGGCACATCAAGTAGGGTCATTACAAACTGAGCCAAACGTGTCGTCAAATTATGAATGTTATGAAAATTAATAATTTCTACAATGAAATTAATTACGTACCAAAAATATTTTATACTATTTAGTTCTACAAAACATATTATTTGTAGGTATATAGAGCAATGAATCAATTACGTTATGTATATTGTATACAAATCTAAATAGTAGAGCAAATATTGTAAAACTGATAATGGAATATCGGTGTAAATATATTCATATTTATATTGATTAAATACTCGTAGTATAAAGCAATTAGTATATATTATTACAAGCTTTTATTTAACGTGCAATGTTTGTATGAATATTTGTTCGGGTCAAATATTGTAACTGATTTTAAAGCAGTTATCCTCAATCGATTGAGCTAAAATTTTTCACACACATTAGTTTAGACGACCCCATGGTTAGCTAAGTGACGTCTTTCTAAATACAATATGGCGGACTCCCAAAGATGACGGACTGCGTTTTTTATGCACCACCATGGTGTGGATATCCTTATCAAATAAAAGGGTTTGCTGAGAAGTAGTAAGTAGTAGTAAGAGTACGAATAAATAAATAAAATATAAAATATAAACTTTATCAAATTACCCATTAATTTATTATATTTCACAATATATCTTCTAATATATATAAAATTCTCGTGTCACAGTTTGTAACATAACGCCTCCAAAACGGCTTGACCGATTCTTATGAAAATTTGTGTGGATATTTTTCATACCTCTAAGTGATAAGGGTGGTCCATCCCAAAACATTTTTTTTATTTTGTGGACAAAATTTTTTATGTTATTTATGATTCGGCATACATCCCTAAATTTTCACCCTTCTACCACCAACCCCTATTTTTTAATAGCGATTATATCATATAAATACATAGCAACGAACCCGAGCGACGCGTGGGTGAGTCGCTGTATAACATAAAGCCAAACACTTTTTTTGTAGATTGAACGCGGGCGAAGCCGCGGGTTCTGCTAGTGTGATATAAAAGCTACTTTAAAAAAATAGTTTAATATTAATTTATATAAACACTAATGACACTTCTATAAATATGTAACATCTATCTACTACACCTTTTTATTTGAAGAAATAATAAAGAAATAAAAAATATACATAGAATAAATATTTTATAATCTGTGTAGCTAGCTAAATATTTATGGATATACATATATGTATAACTAGCGGCTCACCCTCGCTTCGCTCGGGTTCGCCTCTAGGAATACAAGAGTAAACCTATTCCATGGGAACGGTACATTTTTCAGGGATGAAAAATAAACTATGTGTTATTCCAGACTACAATCTATCTGTGTGCCAAATTTCATCCTAATCCGTTCAGCCGTTCTGGCGTGAAAGAGTAACAAACATCCATACTCATAAATTTTCACATTTATATCTTAAAATTGGCATAACTTTTTTATTTATGAAACGATTAACATGAAACAAACACTAAATTTAATTGAAGCTTACCACAATATATTAGTGAAAACTACATCTAAATCGGATAAGCCGTTTCTGAGATTAGCGTGCACAAACGCACAGACAAACAGACAAAATTGTTTTGGGTGCTACTTGCGTTGATAAAGGTCGCAATAATATTTTTTCTCGTATCATCTCATATCATATATATCTTCCATGTACAGACAGCAATCCATTACATTATTATTATGATGTTCTCCTGACCGATTCCGGCCACGGCGGCCAATCTCATTGAGACTAGCCAACTGCGTAAGAGATATTATAGTGCACAAGTGTACGCGCAGACACAAGTGCACTCTCTATTCCTGTCACTCTCATATTCCGGTGGGACGACTGTTCGACACGACCGGTGAGAGTTAAGACGCAGGACCGACGGCTTTACGTGCTCTCCGAGGCACGGGGGTGAAACACCGCCAACTTCCCAACTCCGGGCTGTTACTGAAGCTTATTATACAGAAAGACTCAATAATTAAACTTGGCCCGAGCCGGGACTCGAACCCAGGACCTCCGGGTGTGCAGCCGTACATGCTAGCTACTACACCACTGAGGCAGTTTTATTATATGTATAGATTAAATAATGAATATCATACCATACTACAATATGCGAGTAAATATTATTGTATGAACTTTTGATTAAAACATTATTAAACAAACTCGTACATATTACATATTTTTATGTAACTATTTACTTAACAATGTATTAAATATATATTAAATGGTTTAATAACCTAGTCATAGCGCTAAGTAGAGAAACCTTACGCCTACAAGCACATGTTCAGCCTGAGTGACATACTAACCTGCATGTCACTGCAGGGCAGGATGTCACTGCAAGGCAGGATGCCACTGCAGGGCAGGAGGCAGATTATCATCAGATAAAATTAAGAAATGTATTCCTACAGAAATCCTGCAGTTCATCACAGCGGCAGGGTTTAATGGGCTTAATATGCGGTGATCACAATAGGCTAGGCATGATCGTAGTGATACTTTATAACGGCAATTTAAAAATAAACAAAAACTTAGAATTAATTTACTTTTCACTGCTCTATTCATGATAGAAGAATACTTTGAAATATTGTTACTAAATACATTATTTTCTTTACAGTGACAAAATTTATCCGCATCGGAATAGCAGATAAGAATGACAACCCACCATATTTCGACAAGGAGTTGTACGAGGCGGAAGTCGACGAAAATGAAGACATTCAACACACCGTGCTCACGGTTACCGCCAAAGATCACGACGAATGTACGTACTAGTTATAAGTTTATACTCTATCTATATAAATGCTTATAATCGAAGAAACAAGGACTTTGAATGGAAGTCGCGTTGATATGAAATAACTTTTTTAAATAATACACATACATATATATTTTAAAACAACTACGATTTTTTTATAAAAATTATATTCTTTACAATTATATATACAAAATACAGAAAATAAATTAAATTTATTTTATACTAGTGACTTACTCTCGCTTTGATCTGGTACGTCCCTAGATACGTTTTAATTTTTTTGAGCAGAACTCTAATTCTTTTTCTAAAATGAAAGTAGCCTGTGCTACTCCTTATAACACCAGCTATCTGCCAGTGAAAGTCCCGTCGAAATCAATCCATCAGTTTCGGAGATTAGCCAGAACAAACTGACAGGCAGACAAAATTTTTAAAAAATGTGTTTTTCTTATATTGTACCTAATATAATTTCTAATACAAACAGACAGACGCTTCAATTTTTTTATCTGTACTCGTAGTTATTGTGACCTACAATTTTATAGTACACTAGCGACTCACCCTCGCTCCGCTCGGGTTTAGGTTTAGTATAGATTTTTCAGAGATGAGATATTATTTTCCCGCAGTAAAAAGTATCCTTTATAGTCCAGATAGCTGGTGAATGATTCACCGGCTATCATTATACCAAATTTATCAAAATCCCTCCAATGGTTTTGCCGTGATGCGGTCACAGACAGCCAGACAGATAAAAATACAAATAAAAATTAAAAAAAACTGTAGATTTAGCCTCTGTATCGATAATAATGTCCATTTCAATAAGATTTTTATATGTATAGATTGTTTTATGTATCTCTAAAGACTTAGGAAATATGCGGATAAACAGACAAACGCAGACAGCGACTTTGGTTTTCACCCGACTGTGCGACGCAAAGGAGGGTAATGTGTTTATCAGCCTATGTATGGATGGATGTGGGTTTGTACCTTTGTGGCACTATTGAGACCAAACGCGTGGGCCGATTTCGATAAATGATACGTCGTTTGTTTGTTATGACGGCGCGAATGTCATAGAAAGCATAAAAATTTTCAAAATCAAAATTGCCGATTTTGGGCGCCCTAATGGGGAAATTAAAAACATAAAAATCTACGAACTATGTCAAGTAGGGATCGTTGAATAGGTATTAAAAAGTTTCTTTCATCATTTTGCATTTTAAATAACAGTTTAGGATATAAAATGATTTAAAGGTGGTTAACAATCATTTTCGCTAATTTTCCTACTTAAAAATACTTAAAAAATAAAAATATATACAACTTATATGTTTAAAAGTAATTTAGGATATGAAAGTGCTAAATATAACTTCAAATGTCTAATTGGCAAAAACTAAAAAGCTGTAAATAAAAAAATATATTACAATAAAAACTTTTTAACAAAAAAATAAAAACCGACTTCAAACAAATGCACTAAAAAGTAAAAAATAACTGATTGGTAGTTTTCATTTACTATACATACCTAATCAAATATTTTCGAAGTCGGTGTGCTTTGCTTTGTATGGGCTGGCACCGATTTCGAAAATATTTGATTAGGTATGTATTTAATAGGTAGGCTCTAATTACTTAGCCAAAGCACACCGACTTCGAAAATATTTGATTAGGTATGTATAGTAAATGAAAACTACCAATCAGTTATTTTTTACTTTTTAGTGCATTTGTTTGAAGTCGGTTTTCATTTTTTTGTTAAAAAGTTTTTATTTTTCCCTTTTTAGTGTAGACAGTAGTAGAAAAGTAAGGATTCTAACGTGTTAGGCTTGTCAAATCAAACAAAATAAGCCCAAACTCAAAGTATCTACTATTAGCCGTTGAAGAGTTCCACCTATCCACCTTCTGGCCTTGCCATCAGATCAGGTCAACAACACCGAACCACTGTACTATCAACGGAAATAGAAATACTTGCAAAGTTTCAAGTCAATATGACAATTAGAAGTAGGTTAAATTCATCATTAGTAGTTTTTCCACCCTTAGGGGTGGTATTTTTTTTTGAAATTTAAATGGGACCAATCTGGAAGTATACCCTTTCAAACGACACAAAAATTGTCCAAATCGGTTTAGAAATGACGGAGTTCTGAGGTAACAAACATAAAAAAAAAAAAAAAAAAAAAAAAAAAAAACATACAGTCGAATTGAGAACCTCCTCCTTTTTGAAGTCGGTTGAAAATAAAAAACCCGACTGCATAATACTATATTCCTTCGTGAACTTGTTTTCATCTTTTTAGTTAGCTTTTATGCAGTCGGATTTTTTTTATTTACTATGTATATTGTTTATATCGAGGATATAGAGCATTATAAATTATTATTTTAACAACTATTACAGTGAAAAACGGAAATTATTGTTTAAAATTTATGTCTGTCTGTCTATGTTACATAATATATCCATTAAATCTACGCCGACTTTGTAACAATGCATATGCGTTGGTGCGCTCACAAAGGCTAGCCCGCCAGATCACGAAATTGCCTAGATCGCTTTGAAGAACAGTTCGTCACAAAATGTACTTGCAATATTTGCGACTTTGTCCCGGGCTTGGCGCGCGTGCTATAATATTTTATCTCGGTACTTCGTAATCTCTTTATCAGTTGGATTTATTAAATAAATTGAAATGATGATAAATGCTTTAATAAATCTTGTGTATACATATAGTAAAATAGCGTTTTCCCGCGGCTCTGCTCCCATAGTTCATTAGCGTTATAGTCTATGTACATATAAGCTATATTACTGTAAAGTTTCATCAAGATCAATTGAGTATGTTTTGCGTGAAATAAACGTGCACCCATACATCCTCCCAAATTTTTGCGTTTATAATATTAATAAATTGTCTTTATATATACCTACATATTATACAAATTGAACCACCTTTAGTATATAATGAAACCTATAAATAAATTATTCAGTAGATGGACTACGTCTATATATATTTTAGTAATAAAATTAAAAACCCTGGTACTCTCGAGGACCGTTTGCGTAACAAATTTTATGGCTACGTTCACAGTTTTCAGTTAAGTGACTGACATTAAACAAGCGAGAGTGCCGTTCAATCTCAACGAAGTGAATTATTGAAAAGAGTCATTAAACAATAAGTTTGAGTAAACTTTCAAAGGTTGGTATTGGAATGTCTTTAGTTGAAAATATAATGTAATAAAAAGTAATTGATATTCTTCCAACTTGAACAGCGTCCTATTTAATAATTTGGGCAGTTATAATTTAACTTCTGTTCTGCATTTCCTCCGTTAAGTTTCGGTGAAACTGAAATTTAGACGAAGCTTACGGTTTTTTGAAATGATCGTAAGAAAATAAAGAGTCACCTACAATATATGTGCAATGTACATAGTATATACATATATAATTACTACAAACCTGACCTAAGAAGAGTAAAATTTTATAAATATATTTTACTAGCATTTTTATTGGCAGACCGTTGGGACTCGCCGATACTTGGGCGCTGAATACACACAGTGAAGTAACTACCCTTAAGTATCGGGGAGAAACTATTTGTTAGATTTTAATATTATTAAATTTAATTGTATTCATAAATATAAAAACTAATTACTATGGATTATTGATCTGAAATAAATACTTATTATTATTATTGCTCGCGGCTCCGCCCGCGTTCAGCTGACCAAAAAACAAATTCTTAGGTTTTATATATTAGTATACTCTTACAATGCAGCTTTTGTATTTTTTCTCAAAAATGAGATATTTTCCCGCGGTAAAAAATATCCTATATGTTGACCCGGATAACCAGCTATCACCATACCAAATTTCATCAAAATCCCTCGAGTGGTTTTCTCGTGATGCGGTAACAGACAGACAAAAATTCTAAAAACTATACTCGTAGATTCGGACTCTGTATCGATAATAATGTCTATTTCAATTAGATTTTGCAAAAAATGTTAATGTACAGATTCGACTGAGTTACAATTTTATTATATGTATAGATTTTGTTTTCATAATATATGCCACGATTAAATTAAAATTTAGTTTTGACGTTTGTTTATATTTTTAACTTGTAATTTTGTAGGTATATAGTATAGAAATAACTCGAATTAATAAACACATTTCTTCATTATCGACTTTGTAAGCCCTTTTAGTTGGATGTATAAATTAAATTGCGATAGATAGATGTCCATGTAATGTTGCAATAAATATAGCAAAAACATTGAAGTTCATATTGATTCCATATTTGATTTAACTTATTTTTCAAATTACTATATGAACTCGTTATAAAGCAAATATTAAAAAAATATATAGGAATACCTAAAATTGGCAACCTTGTACGTGTTTCTCACAAACCTTTGTGATTATAACTTTTAAATTACGGAGTCTTTGTTCATTTTTCTTTCAATACATCTTAAGACGAATAAAATACCTTTACTGTACAAACATCTAATTTGTTATCGATAAAAATACTTTCGCTAAGTAAATAATAAAATTGTGGTAATAATAATTTATCGGATACTAATATTTTGACAACACGGTAGACTCAGTTTGTAGTGACCCTACTTGCTGTGCCAGCGGTCGCGGCTTCGAGTCCCGGTACGGCATTCATTTGTGTGATGAGCACGAATGTTTGTACTCCAATCATGGGTGTTTATATTTATAATATTTATGCATTTAAAGTTATATATGTGTAGTGTATCAGTTACCTGCACAAGCCTTGTAGCTTACCATGGAACTAGATGGTGATGTGTGTTAATGTCCCAACATATTTATTTATTTCTTAGATTATTATCGGATACTCTTAAGGTTGACTTTTAATGCAGACTGAGGGAATTACGGCAAAATCAGTGACTTCCTCGCTCTAAATATACTCATATCTCACTAAAACGATATCCGGCTTATATGAATACATGTACTTCATATTTAGAATTTACATTTTTCAGTCTTAAGTGTCAAAGCGATAAAACTTGAGCTTAAAGCTTTATACGATTTAAAATAAATCTCTCTTTTGACTGATTTCAAATAGAAGAAG